GTGACCTATCACCTAATATTTCTCCTTGGAAAAGCCTTTGAATTCTTTGACTGTCTGTTAATGATAAACGGTTCATGATCTCTCGTCTTAAAATGGTGTAGGGTTGTGGTGATGGTGGGCTTAAAATCAAGTCACGGACTTCTTTGGTGACGGAAGGAGGAAGTATAGAACACAAGTCTCTATAACGAATTCCTTCGGATTTGATATTATGTCTCGTGAAATAATGCTCTAGTTGAGCAAACCACAACTCAGGATCACTACGATCAAATTCTGGAAGTCGGGATTTCGTAGTCATAACAGTGTCTATCTCCAATGGTGACAAATCCTCCAGGTTTTGGGTTTGTATTAAGTCTGACATGAAGTATATGAACAATATAGCAATAAACTTAGTGCGAAAAATGGTTACTACAGCACGAATACCTTAAGATAATAAAAAAAACAACTATATATATAGATATATATATATATATATATACCAGACTATGTTTACGGATAATCAGAAGGTCTACTTTTACGACTAAGTAAAACAAAAAAAATTTATTACTCAAAAATGAAATCAAATTTGTGTTTCACAGGGCTCACCAGTTTCGTGCCTTTTGGTAACCCTCGCGTTATTAATAGAAGAAACCAGACTCGTAGGTAAATAGGTCTTTATTTTTAATCTTCGCGCAGACACAGTGGAGCGTGGGATTTCTTATTCAGACAAACAAAACCTCTCAACAAGCAATATAAGATAGTTAGAAATATAACGCCTAAACAAAATAAAGAAGTGAATGAATATCTAAACTATGCTGTTTTGATAAATGCTTAGTTGCTTGAGATTAACTCTTAACAACCAACTTAAGCTGTTACAAGTATGCAAAGCTACTGTTCATTTTGAACCGGTTCAGTCTTCAGCATGGGGTACTCCTATTGTTACGCCACTGAAATCGGACGGCAAGACTTCTAGAATATGTGGTTACTATAGATTAGCACTGAATTAACGTTTGTTGAAGCAAACATGCACGACGGTAGAGGCTGAAGATATTCTAAATCGACTTCATGGTTCTAAAGTGTTCTCGAAAGTTGACCTAAAAGATGCTTATCTCAAAATTCCTTTAGATCAATTTTCGTCTATTTTGACGACAATTAATACTTCTTTTGGTCTGTTCAAATACAATTTCCTTCCATTTGGTCTAAGTTGTTCTCCAGCTATATTTCAGGAAGTTATGAACAATGTAGTTAGTGATCTTGAGGGTGTTGAAGTTTATCAGGACGATCTCATTGTTCATGGTTCTGACAAGGTAGTTCATAACCAGAGACTGATTGCTTCATTGCGTCGTTTAATTGAGAAGAATATTACAGTGAATCCAAATAAGTGTTCATTTTGTGTATGTAGTTTTGAATATCTTGGATATCTAGTTGATGGTAATGGTTTCAGACCAGATATGAAACGACTGGTTCCACTGACAAATGCACCGTCTCCAAAAAATCTTACGGAACTTCGTTCAATAGTGGGTGCGCTTCAATACTATTCCCGTTTTATTCCTAATTTTTCTTGTCCTGCAAACTGTTTATTTATTATTTTGACATCCAATTTATTCAAGTGGGGTGAGGAACAAGAGTCATGCTTACGTAGTCTACTAAAGTTTCTTCAAAGTGATGCTTTTCTTCGAACTTACTCCCCTAGTGTACAGTCTGTGCTTATCACTGATGCATCACCTGTGGGTATTGGCGCAGTTTTTGAACAGGAGGGTAGACCAGTTATTTGTGTTTCACGAAAACTTACTGTTACTGAACAAGGTTATTCAAAGACTCAGCGAGAAGCATTAGCTGTGTTTTGGGCTGTTAAAAGACTTCATAAATATTTATTTGGAAAGAAATTCACTATTGTTACTGATCATGAAGGTTTAATGTTTACTTATCATCCTGAAAAATCCTTAGCACGTACATCAGCTGCTATGGTTCAACGATGGAGTATTGCTTTGAGTGCATATGACTATACGGTTCAGCACAGGAGTGCCAAACAAATACATTTCTCGACAGTCATTATGAGATAAACCTGTAAATACTTCAGACTGTTTGTTAGTGCAACCTTTACCAGTGAAACGTCCAGATCTCATTAGAGAAACTCGTAGATACTTTGGATGTATAATTAATGCTATACGAAAAGGTTGGAATGCTAATCTGAAACGTAGAATTCCTATCTATTTTTCAAAGCTAGATGAGCTATTCACTACTTGTGATGGTATTTTGTGTTTAAATGATCGTGTTTTTATTCCTCCTTCATTGCGTAAATCTGTCCTTGAAGATCTTCATTGTGGACATTTATGTGTTGAGAAAATGAAGTCCTAGGCAAGGCTCACGTGTCGGTGGTCGGAGATAAATGCAGATATATGTCGTGCAGCAAACAATTGTGAAAAGTGTCATAAGCTGAAAAATCAGCATTCAAAGTGGACTCCATGGCCAGTATCGTCTGAGGCCTGGCAGAAAATTCATGCAGACTATTGTGGTCCGTTTCTTGGCAAATACTATGCACTTGTAGTCATTGATTCTTTTTCAAAGTGGCCTGAAGTTTTTTTGACGACTTCACAAAATTCTGACTTCACGATCCAAGCATTAAGAAAGGTAGTTGGTCGAGAAGGGTTTCCAATGGTGTTAGTGACTGATAAGGGCTCTCATTTTGCTGCAAATGCAGTCAATACCTGGTTAAAGAATATAGGGTGCAAACATCTGTTTATTGCTCCCAGACATCCTTGTTCCAATGGTCAGGCAGAAAATTTTGTCAGGACATTGAAAACTGTTATTGATTCTATTGCCGCCTCAACATTTAATGAGCTGGAGAGGAGAGTAGATAACTTTCTATTGCAATATAAAAATGCCAGACATTCGGTGACGAAAGAGACTCCATCAAAACTATTAAAACGGAGAATTCTTCGGTCGAACATGAAATGTTTGGAGTCTCCAGAAGTTACATATTATCGTGGCAATGATCTTTGACCATCCACGGGGATCGTGCTAAAGGATGTCGGAAAATCTACGATGCGAATTCTAGATATCAATGACTTAAGTACACACAATCGACGTGTTGATCAGATACAATTCCAGGAACCAGGTGAGTCTGTTCCGATTTCGATTGTTAATTCTAATGCTAATGAGTACATTTTGGATAATACACAGTCCTTATAAAATACACTAGCAGACAGACATAGGATAAACTTGAGAAGAAGACGTACAATTGGTTACAGACACCTAGACTCCAATTTAAGCTGTAGCAGATGTAATGTTTGAATGAACTGATGATTCCTTTGTACTGGTTGAATGCCTGATTTCGAATTTCAAATACAGTACATTCGTTAGTGCTTGTGTAGTACTTCTTGATTGAATTGCGTTATTTCTGGGATTCTTAGTTAGTACTATAATTCAAATACTTTTAATCATCATATTATTACAGTTTCTTGTAACATATCGATCAAACTGAGCAACCTATTGCAGTAGATTTTGTGGCGATTCGAACATATCTGTCTTGTCGGTAAACTGGCGTAGTGTATTTCCTGAGAATAAATTATTATATACATCTTTAGGGATTCGGATACGCAGTAGTTGAAAATGCTACTGTCCAGATTATTCCAGCCAGTCATACTCAGCATAGAACCTGGAAAAAACAGTGACACAGAGACCAATAAATATTGAACTTAATGCTGAAAGGATCTGACAGTGTACTTGAATTATAGGTCAAGGTTATGAAGCACACGACTTCTAAACCACGTACATCTTTTAGGTCATGCACTACACGAGGTCCCCAAACACGATATAGTGCGGACACATGGTCGGTTCCACTGAGCTAAAAGCGCGTTCCCCAGGGCTAAAATGGCCATTGTCATTGTCAAAGACTTGTACAGCCAATCATTTTATCGATTATTTTTTGTTTTAGTCTACAGAATACAATACAATGTCAGTCATGCAAAGTAAAGTCCAGGTGTAACATCCAGACATATCAGACGAAGTGTTGAGTACTGTAATGATCAAGGTTTTAAATGGAAATTTTGCTGTAACAGACCCACTATGATGATCAATTTACTCATTAAAAATGTAGAAAAATTACCAGACTTTTCAGCTTCGACAAAAGCCTTTCGTCTGTTGTCCTCGTTTACGTATAGTGAAGAAAGTGAAGGTCTTGTATTGTTGATAGATCTAGTTTAGGCAGAAGCAAAGTTAAAAACACCCTACGCAGAGCAGTATTAGATAAAAGTGCCATCAGAACACCTAACTTAGGATGGTTGAAGGACAAACAATCAATGAAAAAGTGGTTGTTAGGAGGACCAGTGTGTATAAATGGAACCAGTGACAGACAAACTTGGGACTATCAAGCAGACTACAGTCAAGCAAAGCATCTAACATGAGATATAGTGAGACCTAGCTATGATGCTAAACGACCATGAAAACAGATTGAAAAACTTGCTCTTTTCATCCCTGGGTAAATTTCTTACTTTTCAGAAACCTTCTTTATGTAGCGCCTCCGACCATTAAACCTTTACCCATTAGAGCATAGGAGTCTTAGAGGTGGCCTATAGCATCCTTAACACTTCTGGACATCCCTTTAAACACCTCCTTCAGTTTAGCTCCAACACAAGCCTAAGAGGTAATACCCAGAAACCAGAGACAAAACATAGCATGACGGACTGTAGACACAACTTATACTCCTTAAGAGCAGTCAAATGCTAGAATTCACTGCCGGCTGAGCTAGTCCAAGGGACGTCTCAGAATTCCTTTAAGAGAAAACTTGACCTATTCTTAAGGACTAAGGATAATATCTTACTAGGATTTACCGATTTATTTTTCCCTCTATTATCGTTAATATGTTAGGGTATTGTTGAGTCACTGCTATTAGACACGGAAGCCCGTTAAGCGAAAGCTTCTTCTATTCCCTCCACAACCATTTGAATCGTTTGAATCACTCGAATAGTGGCGGTTCATTTAAAGTCTCTTGTGCAGATTATGGACACACATAGGTCTTTGAAATGGTTTGCAGGCCAGTCAAACAAATTAAAGGTATCGAATTGTCAAAATAGGTATAAGTATGTCAAAGTCAATTCACCATTGTTTTGGCGCCCGTTATCCAGCTCTCTTAAGTGGGATAAATACAACTGTTCTAGCTTAACTCTTGGACATGCATCTAAACACAATCCCTCTAGTATTTATTCTAGATTTAATGAGAGTCAGACATACAGCACAAAGATTGGCAGAGGTAGACTCTACAATTATATTAAGAAAAGCGATCACGGGAACGGTAATCAACAAATTTTGACCCCCGTTCCGGACTTCCCACAGCATCAGGTTGAATTATTTAGTAGCGAAATTTCGAGTGGTATGATAAGTCGGGTTCGGGAAAATAATGTTCGTTTGCCACCTTGCAGTAGCAATGTATTGTATACTAAAACAAGTCGATTTAGGTATGTCAAGCCTGGTAGTTCAACTAGTTCGAGGCTTGCATTTAAGTATAACTCGCAGCTTGTCACGAAGTTTTCCATTAAGAAAATGAACCGGCATAATATACCTCGTCCATCTGCATACCAGTACAAGTATGTCTTCTGTTCGTATTGACAATACTTCAGGAAGATTGTCCAGAAAGCTGTCCATAGCTTGAAGTTCCGTCGCCGTATGGTTTGTCAAAGTTACTGCAGGACTGGGTTTTGCTCTGCGCAGCAGTGTTCTTACTCACACGATGAAAATTATCTACGTATCTGTCCAAGGTAGGTTGCGCTTTGTTAATCCGATTGGTCCATATTTTGGCTTGTAAATGAAAGCTGACTGAGTAGTATTTTAGGGACCAGTTTGGCGAAATCATAATACAGTTCTTATTGTGAGTCAGTAGTATTTGTTCTTATTGTAAACGTGAAGTACCTGACAACAAAGCTTTGAAACCATATAGTTACGAAATGGGATAGGTTGGGAAGTTAGTGATTAGCAAATCGATAAACTTAGTACTTAGAGACCACTAAGGTATTGATGTTCATTTTAGAAAACCGACTTTCAGTATAGCTTTTCATCGCTTTATATATTTGTCAAAATTCAGTGATTTAGTAAATCTGTAGTTCAAATCTAAAGAGAACTTTGTAAATGAGACGTACTAGCATTCCTACTTATTTTTGTTACGGGTGTGTTAATAGAACTGGCTTTATTTATTAATGGGACAATTTTAGGTAACTTAATTCATGGATATCATGGTTATATTGAATGGAGATCAAAGTATTTGCTATCTGAATAGGGATGTGAATATCTACATACGTTTAATATCTGAAATGTGCATAGTATCAACAATGATGTTTCATACCACCTACAACAGAAATATTTGAGTTTTACGACTGAAATAATTCATGCCAAGCATGAAATCAGGATTAGTTCACTGCGCTAAAATTCTATATATCTCAATCGATGGGTTCGAGATCTTGCTTTTAAGGACAGTAGACAAAGATTCATACCAAGTGGGATTGGAGTTAAATTGTAGAGAAATTGCAAAATCAACCATCTTAGTTCCTCATTAGGCATGGTTTAAGTTAAAAGACGAGGAGAAAATATATTAGTCTACGTTATTCGAAATAGGTTGAGCAAACGTATCCGTGCCATTGTAATAGATTTTCAGCCATGTTAATGTTCAGTGATTAGATGTGTGCTAATTAGAGGTATTCCCTACATTAACGATGACTTTATCACGTTGAAAGCGCTGATTTCCATCCGATCACCAGGGTTAAGGAGCTGTATCTCAGTTTTTATTGCGTCTAACAGGTTCGAACTCCGTCCCACCTATTTCGGCATATGCAGCTGGATAGTATCATCATTTCTGTGTGTCTCAAAATCAAGTTTCCGAATCCGCATCTAACTGATGAGTCAATAATAGAAACTTAAGATGCTGATCAAGCAAAGATTTTGGTAGAATGCAAGAGCTACTGTCATACAGCATTAGTTTATGTGGCTGTTTAAAATGTTTAGAGTCATTAGTTTAAAATCGTACATTACTGAAGTAATTAACAATGATGCGGACGCTTTTACGTGAGATATTTTACGTACTACATTCCCCTGAATCATAGGTGTTAATCTGGGTATTACTAGTCAAAAAGTTGGCGAAATAGGTTTTTTATTTGATGAGTTACTTTACAGCACTGACTTGTTCTAGTCACATTTTTTGTTTGTTCCAGGAGTCTTCCTACCAAGCATTATTTGATAATTTAGTTAATGACCTAAAGTTAGGGGTATGCGGTCAGTTCGTAAAGTTACAATGTGTTATGGTACATAATTTTATTGAGATAAAATCCCTTAACACCTCACGACTTCTTGGATAGTGAATGCTCAGTTCTAAAATTATATCAGAAATACACCGGAATAAAAATTGCTCTCTAGTTTCCTTGAGTTGTTCTTTTTCAACCATCCATATGGTCATTCATTTCTATGTCCATCACGTCATCCTCGTCCACACAGCATATCACGATAGCCCATTTTCAATATGTTTTTCAAACTAAAATGAGGGATTGCGTTGCTGTCGAACCGTTTTAAGTATTCATTTTTTAATTTTAGTACTATTTTATTATTGGTATCTAAAACGTGCTTTATTGCCTAAGCTAATTTTTCGTCCTACAGGTTTTTACAACAAAGCTGTTCTCTGGGAAGCGAATCTTGTCCACTTGCTCATGTATTAGATCCGTGTAGACTGCCACAATGTACTTACTATGAGTCTGGGAAGTGCGAACGTCTTCACTGTCCTTATTTACATGTGAGGCACCCTCCAAAGACAGCTATATGTTCGGATTTCTCTCGTGGACGTTGCCCTCTAGGTCGCTTGGTATGTTCATTTTCCAGTAAAGCAGAAACATCTATCTTAACAGACTAATATGACTTTATGTATTTCGTATATTGTATTCCACTACTTACATCTTAGAAGCACTAATATTACTTATTGAAAGCATGCATTTATGTTGATATCGCGTTAATAAATTTAGGTAGCTGGAAAAAATGGAGTGAATAGAGAAATTGTTCATGCTTTGAACTGTTTGTAGGTACTGTATATTGACGTAATTCCCATTTAGGCATTAAAAACACAAAGTTTTGGCGAAAGTATCTATTTCCTAGGGATTTACTATCAAGCTATACAATTGCACATATATATATATATACCGCCTGATGCCTTTTTCGTCTCGGAGGGAACTGTCAATTTGTTCCATGTAGCCGAGTCCACATGATTCGTAAAATAGTTCGTTTTGAACTTCGAGACAAAAAGCTTTTTCTATAGACATTGTTATAGAAGACTTTGTTATATCCCAATAAGAATAATGAATGGTGATTTTTGGGATCCATTTATGGACCGATATTATGAGTATATTTTTATCGTATAATCGTTATGTAATTAATCTGTTCATATCCATGTCCTTCTTATTATGAGTTTCATTTTGACCTATGAACTATTATTATACGATTTACCATTCTTGAGTTATGGCCTATCTATTGATTCCTATCTCCCTCATTCACAGCCACATCTGGCTAATTCTTGTACACATGTTTCATATTTTATTGGTACGTTGTGGTCTGTCTGGTTGATATATAAACCGAGTGTGTTTGAAATATAATGGTTCATATCGCTGAGGCTGATATTTGTGTTCTGGACTCAACTGGCTGGGCTAGACAGAAAGCAGGGCCAATCAGGACTCTAGGCTGCTCGCACGTGTTCTATGCGTCATTGTTCCGTTCGATAATTCGCTGCTCTCTAATCGGTGGGTCTGAAGTGATAACAAACTTCTTAGTTGATTTTTGTCCCACATTCCAGAATTGTAAATGGAGCCTTGGAACTATGTTCTCCTACCTTTAGTTTGTCGAAATGTTCACGCCAAGACAACAATAATTGTTTCAAAGTCGAATTAGTCTGTCACGACGTGAAAATTGAAGGTATTCATTTTCACCTGCTTGACAAGAATCCATCATTATTTACAATTGTGAAAGCAAACTAATTTCATTTTCAAATATTTTACTGAATATTCTTATGTGCCTTTATGACTAACATTACAGTAATAGTCGCTAAAAGTACCTAACTGAGTCTTTCCACCAAGTTCAAAAGTGTTTCTCACAATCTATGTATATTTCATTGGACTATGTTGTTTTGTGTCGTTTTAGTGTATTAAGCGCCATATATGGATGCAAAAGTCATTTTCGAACAAGTCTGGTCATCAGAAATTATCTAAATTAACAATTGTTTCTAAAAAGGCCTGTAGAACATTAGTTACCAAACTAGGAGATACTTCTGATCATAATTATTCTGGTCCTGTTGCTGCTCCAGCTGGTTCACTGCGCAACGTATATCCTCCTCCGGAATTTATTCCTCTGATCTCAGACAATGATGATTCTATGACAGGTGCAGATGCAAATTGTTCTTGAACTATTACTATCAAACTTTCGTTTGTTTGCATTTAATAATATACATAAATATGTGATTTTAGTACCTGTACGGAGATTGTGTAATTCCAGATTGTTTTGAAACAGCTTTTTTCATATTTTTATTAGGTATTTTGTGTTTGTACGCATATATTTTACTTGCTTCTCCATCTCAAGGTCATTCACTAGTGACACACAGTATATATTACCATAATCGAATTTCGTCGTTTTGGAAAGTTTATCAGTATTTATTAAATGTATTTCTTGCCATTTATAATAATAATTACAATAAGATTTTATTGATATCATCAAGATGTATATGGTTTTTGTAGTAAAATCCATGGTAACATAAACGCAAGGGATGAGTAGGAACAAAACAATATTTAAAGAATGATCTGAACTGGTAAATACCAATTCACTCTTTAGTAATAATTATTATTATTTGAACACAAATATTGGTAAAAGAGGGCACCAAATGTATATGCGTCACACAAAATTTTATTAGTATTTAGAAAATGAGTCTTTTGGTGGCTCGGTGTCGAATGGTCAGTATACCCAGTTTTGTTACGTTAAAGTCAGAAGTGTTCAGATTTTCTTGTTAGGAAGCGCTGTCTGAAGGGGACAATATAAGAAATGTCATTTTTCGTCATAGTAATATACAGAAACCACTGACGGAGTATTCTTATGTGCTTTTACTACCAACTCTGCGGTGATAATCATTAAAAACATTCACTGAGTCTATCCATTATGTTGAGAAATAACTATTATAGCTTTTTATCTAACATCAGATAAAATATTTTGTTGTGCTTAAATAATCTGATTTTTTAATCAAGATACAGATACACATCGATTTATAAAAGTATCATTAACTTGAGCATTTATCTGTCTTAACAGTAACAGTAGGTACGTTGAGTCACTTGTGCACAATTTTCCAATCGTTGTCAGAAATCATTTTACTTGCCACAGTGCGTAATACCGATCTTAGATTTCCAGCTGTTAGCTATTATTCAGTACATTGAAACGCTTGTTCACAGATATAAGTTAACCCATACAACAGCAATACTTCTTAGATTGTGTAACTTATCCTATGCTATTTGTGGGTTGCATCCAGTCAATTATCTTCAAATAAATCATTTCATTCAAGTTTTTATCAGCTTCTAGGTTTACTAGTAACATTTGGAGATCATGATTAGCTGCCTTAATGTCGAAAGGATCTGGAACGGTCAATAAGTTGGATGCATTGAGATTCTCAAGATATTAGAATCCATACCCTAGTGTTTTCTGAACCCACTGCTAGCCACAAACGAAATATATGAAAGAAAACTAGGTGGTTTACATTTTACCAGATTACACAACATTATTTTTTGAAATGCGACTCTTCTTTAGGAAGAGGATGTAGATCGATTGATGAGGTAAGAAATCTTCGTCAAGTGAAATTTTTAGTGATGGAAATGCAATAGATCTGGTTCTTTATCTGGTTAAATTTAGAGTTGTTTAGTTTACCTGCTCATATCAATGATAAGAATGTACACGCCCTAAATTTTACTCATTTTAGGCGTTTATTTTTATATTGTATTAACGTCATCAGTTGACCGAAGACAAACAATGTTAGGTTGTATATTTCGCCAGTAGAATTACCTTACAACATTTTTTAGTCAACAATGATCACAAGACAGGTACGGCCACTGAACGTTCACTGAGGAAATCCTCGTGATAGATCCATGATTTACGGACTGCTTTAATAATATTCTTCACTACTGATGTATTGTACGCAAGTAAAACACACAAATAAGTTGATTTCGTAATTATTTCAACGTGCACACATTGCTGGAAACACGATTATTAGAAGTAAAACTGAGCTTATAGTATTTATCCTACATTCTTTATGAATTATTTATCATTCAACATACTGTTCTTTGTCACATACTTTTGTATCTGATTATCATGAATATAATTAAATATTCCAAATCCTTGGAAAATTAACTTTTATTCATTTGTCTTTTGAAGACTGTTTTACAAAAACTTACGGGCGTTTATCAGTAATAAATATTCCGTATCATCATAATAATTGTGATGTAATTATCGGTGATAGTGATAAACATGAAATCAGTAGGGAAAATAAGAATTTTAGGGGATTTGTTATTGAAAAACTATAAAAATTGATGAGGCTATTTAACCGTCAAAGTCCCGGAAGTTATGCACATGTTATCAAAAACAAGAAAATTTTGGGTGAATTTGTCCTTAAAATAGTTTGATAATATAAATAGGAAAAGGGAAATACTTGAATTTCGATATTATCATTCTGGAAACTAACTAATGGTCTCAACAGACTGCGTCATCAGTAAAAACTAAGAAAATAAAGAATTTTTATAAGTAAACATTACAAGATATTAAATAAGTGCTCACTATAACAATTATGAAAATATAATTTTTTCCGAAGTGACAAGTGTATTAAGACAATAAGGACACAAACTTCAGTGAAGGGATGTTTTCTTATTGAAATTATTATCACGCTGAACAATCGTATAAGCATATGAAAATATGTTTTTAGTATTAGTTATACGAGGGCACATTAATAAACAATAAACGTAAAGAGATGTAGAAAGACAATAAATTTTGGTAACATAATGTAAGAGTAAAAGATTGTGTCTGCAAAAGAAACCCAACAAAATTAGTAGGTCCGCAATGTATTCAAAAGTGAATGTGTATTCAGTATATCAAGTGTCCCACAGTAAAATGACTATATCTCTTATTTCTTTGTGACTCGCTATGTATAATCACATTTATATTCAATACCTATCTCAATCCTAAACATAAGCGAAGCGATTCAAATAGCCAAAAAATATTTTTGTGACCCTAAATCTGACTAGTTAGATCGTTTCGGATTGTTATCGAAATATATATATATATATATATATATATATATATATATATATATATATATATATATATATATAGCCAATCCTCACATATAATTATCGACTGGACAGGAGTTAGTGAATAAAGTAACTAAATGATTCAAACACGAGAATGGATTACGAATATGTGCATTACATACAACCATCAATCCAGACAAAAGATGGAAGAAAGACAAGAGAAGAGAGTGAGGTAAACAGACATAAAGGAGAACTGTGATAACAAGGAGAACTATAATTACCAAACAAACTAGGAATCTCTGAAATAGCGCAATTTAAGCCAGACAGAATTAGGTGAACACAAACAAATGTATTGTATTTAGAATTCGAAATTAGACAAACATCGAGTACAAAGAAATCATTCATTCATGCAAACACTACAACTTTCAGAGCTGAAATCGGGATCTAAGTTCCTGTAATCGAGTAACCGTCTTCTCCTCAGGTTCATTGTATGTATGTCAGACTGTGTATTGAGTACAGACTCTGTATGATCTAAAATATGCTCATTAGTATTAAAATTAACAACAGTTGTTAATGTTTCGAAGGCATCTGCGATCGCATAATAGTAACCTATGAGTGACTTCCTGTGGTATATGTACGAAAAAATGTTTCTTTTTCACTTGGTTGCCCACTGACTACTAATTACAAATATAATACGTTCATTTGTACTCATCTAGTGCTACTTGTTGTATATTACTCAGTTTCGGGGATTCCTGGTTAGCACATTAATTCGAATACTTCGTTGTCGCTGTGGAGTCAAAATTTGGACAGTTGGATATTAGTTCAAATGGGGATAGCTTTGATGTCTACATGAAGTTGTTCGAAATTTGGTGCATGAAAAAAAGAAATTAAAAATGATAAGTCTGTTGTGACCTACTTTTGTCAACAGAACGCGATTGGTTAGATGAAAACAATTATTATTTTAACCAATTGTACCAGTGATTGTTTTATTGTGCTCGTTTGTTTAACTGTGCTAATAACAGCCATTTTGGTCTTCCATTGTATTCCATTGCTTCTACGCGGTTTTCGACTACGCACGTATCTTTTCTTGTCGATCGCACCTGTACTCCTTTGGCACGATCTCGGTATTCTTTCGATACCACGAGATTGACAACAAATATATTACAACTACTATTATCATCTGCCTTCTGATTTTTGGCCTACCGGAATCTTATTGGTCTATTGGCACGTAGTCTGGTAGCGGTGTTCATAGTCAAGCTGAAAGCGACAACACGCTACAAGTCCACGACTTATGTCCTGACGTCCATCGGATAGGAATTTTATGACCCACTAAAGTATCTGGCTTTTTCAGTGAAACCAATTTCATTATCATATGAATGTTTCAAAGAATTACTACTTATTCATGTGCAATGTGCTAGCTCAGAATTCAAAGAGAGATCAAAGTTTCACAAAAAGATTCGATAAGACGATCGGAAAGTTCGAGATTTTATACTTAAACTACAGAAAAAGGCCACGAACTACAATTGTTGAGATCAATTAGGAAATGAACTTCGTAATACTTTGATTGCTGAGATAAATGTTCCGAATTTGGAAAGTAAATTGATTTAGGAATACAAAAGTTTGTTTCAAGAAATTAAAACAGCATGTATTAACTATGAGGCAGTAAATAAGCTTGATTTTCAGTCAGTGAAAATTTCTATTACTTTGCTTAGTCCTCGTGATGAACTACATTCTCAGGATCACTCAAGGTTTCATTTGTTTAACAATGGTTTTAAGTTTTACAGAAAAAGCTTCAACGGTGAATTGCAAAGCAGTTTACAGCCGTGAGCTTAGATCTGGTATTTATTTACCTTGTGATCAATTCCAACTGCGTAATTCATTTGTCTTTCGTCATGTTAAATGCTTTAAATGTGATGAAATGGGACACATCCAGTCAGTTTGTCAAACTGTTGTTCATATAGCTGTAAGTAACGCTAAACTTTGTAATTGAGATCCTATTACCATAAGTGATCCAAACGAGTATATGCCATACCTAAGATGATGGAGAAGTTTGTGCTGATGATGTCGTTTAGAAGAACGATGAAAGCTCCACGACCAAACCATCCAGCTCAGCGAACAAAACTCCATCAAAATATACCATACATGTCCAGAGGAGCTTTTCTCGATTTTATTGTTGAAAATGTAGAATCAAGTTTGTGGAGATATGTCTGACAAGCTTACTTTGCAAATAGTTTTTAATGTTATTTGTATTTATTTTGTCAATTTTCCACTTCATGTACATTTATCATTAAATGATTGGTACCAGATCAAATTAGAACACGCACTAGCCTGGTTAACTAAGTAACTTTCCTTCTATTATGTTTATAACATTTAACTTATATATATAAATATTATTATTTTTCATTATTAACTCTGTGGTCCAAAACAAGTTCATAATTTCAGTGGAAATTCGGAGAACTTAAAACCCGGTACTATCATAAGTCTAACTAACGCTATTGCTTGGAGCATGCCTTACATTCAAGAACATGAAAATTTTAGGGTAGCATTTAACTCTGTTGATCAACAACTTTTTATGACAAAGTCATACCAAATTACATTAACCGAGCACACGCTTTCTATTTGAACACAAGTGATGTTTGTCAGGGTTGTCCGCTTCCCCCATTTATATTTAACTTGGTCATAAACATTTTTTTAAAGACAACGCTCTTATCGTCTGACTTTGCAGGAATAGATCTATCGGGAGACTCACATGTCGAGTTGGAATATACAGATGATTGTCCAATTCGGTAAAGACGCTGACATAATATGGAGTCTTTTGACCGTCTTGAAGGACAGTGCTAACATATTCAGGATAAGTCCCACTACATCTAAATGTCGCTTCGGGACTTATTTATTTATTTAAACACATAAACATTGATACAAGGAAGCATCTCACACATGTATTCACACTAGGTAGTGAGCACTTAGAATTACTCAAGAAGTTCGTGTATCTAGATAGCTGTGTAAGTCTTGGTGTAAGTGATGAGATCAATTCACGTATAATCAAAGCCGGAGCATCTTATTCTAACCTTCGCCATCTTTGTTGCCTCAATGATGCTATTGTCTGTAAAACGTCGAGACTACAATGCGTCGGTGAGAGCAGTTTTCTATGTTTATAAAACCTGATCTCTTCAAGTTGGGCATGTCAAGCGACTCTCTGCGATCGGTCATGCTTTCTCTGAAGGATTGCTATCATTTAATGGAAACACCATGCTAGTAATGTGGGGGTTCGGGAACATGTGTTCAGCAACAGTGACGATAATTCAATTAGTGTCACCATATTGAAATATCGACTTCAGTGGCTTGTACATGTACGAATGTAGTTCCAGAAAATTCCACATTGTTAATTATTTCCCGCCGCTGATTAATTGGAAAAGTAGAGAGGTAGTCAGTGTATTACATGGTGTCGTGATAATTTTAACATGCGTCAGTCTAATTGTTAATGACTTCACAGAATGATGCCATGGTTTGGTCGTCCCTGGTTTTCTACGAGCCTACTGAAACACCAGAAAACATCGCCCTCGCGGTAAGCGGTAGTTGAGCACACGTAACACAGATCCCAGTCACCTCAGCTGATGAAGATTCACAACCTAATCAACCAAGTTTTCATTCCTAGTGAGTACTCTAAACCTAACCTGGGATATGTTTACTCTCTAGCCCCAAAATATAAGGCCAATGCTTCGAGTACTCTGTGATTGGAACTAGACGGTTTGTGTTCTTCCTTGTAAACTGGAATGATCAGACATCTAAACCAATCTGATGAGATTACGCACAGTCCACGGATTCTAACTAAGATCTCAGTTAATCCAACTGCTAAAACTGGACTACCATCCGTAAAAGTCTCAGTGTTTAGTACATCAGACCCAACTGATCTCCTTCTCTTTAGATTACTTGGTCTTTTGAACCTCACTGAGTTGGATGACTTACATCAGTTTTCCATTCAGGTTACTTGGAGATAGTGCGTCTGAAAGCTAGTTGAACTGTCCCCTAAGGTGTTCTCCCGATTGATCCAATCTTCTGGATCGAGAGTGAGTAATAGTTCTGTCTTTTCCCGAAGTAGTTTCACTAATAGCCAGATTTTTAATACCGATCTCCCCGATAACTGAATAGTTGTCTGTTGCTACCTATCGCCGCAGATTTTCCATCTCTTTTGCTTTTACTACCTACCATTGTTCACGATCACTGTGTAGGCTTTTAATCAGCCTACGTCTGGGCTGTCTCAGCCCTTCATTATGTTTGGAGCTAGGTAGAATGAGATCCCGAGCATCTATCAGTTCTGTAGACGTCGCTGAAATCTGCTGGTCGTCCCTAACTTTTTTGTTTAAGTTTTTGGTAGACATCACTGCCGTTTCCACAGCATTTCGTTTATCATATCAAGCTATCTCGGGGTGGATATCACTTTCACGTTTGACTAGCAGCTTCTCTGGTTGTCCCTAAAATATATTCTTGAATTTTCCAGGACTAAGTAGAACTCTTGGTAGTTTTCCTGCTGTCACTGTTTTATGTTCAGTAATGCCCCCAAGTGCCCTGGTACGGTCGAGGGTGTGGAGAGCCCACTCGCCCTCTCGAAACGCTCTCACATGGCCACGCGTATACAGCCACTACCGGAGAAATCCTATTCAATGCCTTCTCGTGGCGGTGTTACTTACGAAATTGATAGGACGGAAAGCGATTGTCCGGCGCTTTAATAGGGTTGGTGGTTGTCGAGGGTCCTTCTAGTTGGAGTTGGAAAATCCTGATTTCAAACCAATGGGGCAAATGGGCTCCAGGACCCTGATGGAACAAATGGCATATGAATGTATTTTTGATCTCTGGCTACCATGGGACTGCATCTCCTAACGTTACTCCACTGCCTCGTAGATCAAACCTTTAGGTAAAAGGCTCCGGGTGTGGCCCTCTAAGGAAACCACCTGCTTCGGTTTGGGCACCCAGACATTATCACACCTCGCACACAAATCAATGGTAACTGCTGCTAGCCTCGTTGTTATTGTGTGGCGTATATGTATTTGGCGCTCCCTTGTATCAATGTCTATGTGTTTAAATAAACGAATAAAAATAAAATAATAACGTCCAGTAAAACGCAGAAAAGTACATGCTTTTACTAAAGCATGATCTGAGTCTAAATATGTAGTCCGGAATGAGTGGTAGTCTTCTATTAATTTAGTTATCTATTTGAACACAAACATTGGTACAAGGGGGGTGCTAAATACAAGCGGGCCACACAATGACAGTGAGGTTGTGAAGAGACAGAGGAGGGTGGATATAACAATAAGATCACAAGTTAATGGGAATCGGTAAGTGAGAGTGAAATAATAATAATAATAATAATAATAATAATAATAATAATGGAAGGAGCAGTTCAGTTAGAAGAAATACAACCAGAAAGAATTCTTTCAATTAAAAAGCTACGTTCACTTTTATGAGGAAAGTAAAAGAAAGTTACAGCAGGATATTCACTAGTTTCTATTTTGAGTCATGTCTGATAACGTCTGAGCCACTGTATTGCATCATCTCTGGGGCGACCACGGCAAAAATTTACATAGGTAAATGGGATGTCCGGACAATGTGGGAGATTGGGAGGACCAATCAAACAGCTGTAGAAGTTGTCTCGAATATTATCGCTTATACACACAATACGTTTTTCTATGCTAGATCGAGTTAAGAGGAATAAATACAAACGATTTCGATAATATTGTGGCGCAACTGGGATAGATGACTAGGTTTTGTAAAGGCGATTTGGAAATATTATTAGGTATCATAAACACATCACAAAATAATTTAATTCAGTTGTGAAACTCGCTTGAAATACTTTCACTTCCAAGAAATGATAATTTGAAGAAAACAATAGTTTGAATGTGGAAGTTATACGAGATATTGCTGATTTAGTTCATGATTTAGAATGACGTTGTTTAGCGAATATTTGTATGTTCAAAGATAATTTAAGCAAAATACATAGAATTGTCTGACAAACAATCGAGACAAAATCCTAGATTGCAGGATATTTATAGTTGACACACCGTAAATTTGTGGCATTCGTTTCCTTTGTTTCACCATGGAACTCATAAATGGAATACTAAGCAGGCAGTGCTCGAGTAAAATATTCTAGTGGATTGGTTATGGCAGAAAATGAATTAACCATTAGTGGCGGATCGTGTCTTGCTTACATAAGATGCTGAAATATATGTAATTGCGCTGCTCTGCGGCTATACATACGAATGCTTGATATTTTAGCAAGCATATTACACGGAAACATTGACAAGTCGCGAATGAATGTTAAAGAACTATTATAACAAATTACAATCGTAGTCGATTTGGGAAATATTGATTGAACTAATCCGTTTAGCTTGAATACCAATCAACAGTAATATAAAAAAGTATATGTTTACGGTAATTGACGAACTCAAAAGACCATAGAAATAGAAAAGAGTAAGTGTATAACTAAATAATAGGGATTATTCTATGTCTTGTTCTCCGTTATAGATCACCAACGTAGATGATCTGTGTCGAATGACTCGGGGCCTATTAATGTAGGTCACACCTCACAGTCAGCACTCTACATGGAATAACTTTTTGTCGTATCCAGCTGCTGCGGCTATCTTGACAAACGTACCGAACAAACGAAGTTATAACAGAAATATATTAGCAAGAGTAGGTGCAAGTGACAGAGGACGACCATTGATGCATGTGTCAGTCCATGGTGTGCACTTAACTGTTACGCGTTGTTTGTCCTTGATGTTGACGAGAATCATAGAACTGTTTATCATTCATTAACGTAACTGCCAGGTGATTTGCCTAGGGCTTAGTCATATTTCACTGGCATTATATACATATACGAAATATCTTAGAAATCCTAAGTGGTTGAAGAACCTAACTTTCTTCGAGTCATCCATATCCACACCTTGCAGCGGGTAAATTTTAAGGTGCATTTGTTTCATTTATTCCAATCAGAGTTGAATAAATAAAAAGTGAATACACTTAGTATTGAGATTCGGACGGTTCTAAATTGGCAAGGATTTGACGTTTGCGTAACAGTGTCCGTATACTGTTAGACGTGATTATTTTGCAGCAGTACGTTCATACTGACACTCTCAGGTAAGTCAGTAGTACATGTTTAATTTTCGTAGACAACTATCCCAACTGTTTGGTGATTGATTCGTATCAATAAGACATGTTGCGGAAATTTAAAACTACTAATTACTACGTAACTCGAGTTAGATATAATGAAAGTTTACCTATTATAAATATCTGAAACTAGGACGTGCTTTTCGTACACTCAAATGAAAGTCTAAGTACGTATGCTGAGTTTTGCAATTTTCCTGTTATTAATTGGTGATGGTAGACCTAAGGACTAAATAAAAGTGTAACCACACCGGAGCAGTAACACAAATAATGACTGCGTGAAAAAAACAATTAGGAAAGTAAGAATAAGTATCAATTTTTAGTGGGAATTAGTCCTTTTCGTTTTACGTATCTCTTAATATAATAGAAGTTCACTTGTAAAAAAATGGGTTTCAGAGTCTGGTAAAACGATACACTGTAGGAATGGTATAGACCAATCTGTTTCATAGAAGGAATGATTCGACTAGATGAATAAGCACTTCAGTCTTCAGTAATAAGGTTAGTAGGTTTGTGAATCTGTGTTAATCCTAACAAATCGTCTTCCAGTGAAATTCCAGTTTCTCCTTGAAAATATTCACTGATGGGGCTGATACCACTTTTTCGGGCAATGCGTTCCAATCATTGACTACTCGATGAGAAAAACGGAACCCCATTTCAAGTTTATTAGATCGCGGCTTATAAACCTTCTTGCTATGACCTCGGAGATTATTAGTACTGGAGGGAACAAAAAGATAAGACATATTAATTAATTAATTTATTTATTTGAACACATAAATATTGGTACAGAGGGGCACCAAATATATATGCGCCACACAAAACAATGATAATTTGAAGAGAAGGAGGAAAGAGAAAAAAAAGGTAATGAACGTGGGGAATTATAAAAAAAAAGGGGAGAGAGAGAACAATGATGGGGGAAACGGAAAGGTACAATCAGAAGAGATCTTTCAGTTAAGGAAGATATAAACACTTTTTATGAAGAAAGTAAGAGGTTACAGCACAATCGCCACTGGCTTATATTCTGAGCCATATCTGATAACGTCTCTAGCCACTGCGTTACACCGTCTCTCGGACCCCAACCAGGGAGTCGTGAAGGACCAACAGAAGCCAGCCCTTTGCAGCTTTCTTTCATACCACGACACCATGTCATATACTGACCACCTCTCAGCTGTTTCCAACCAGTCCCAGAGTCGGCAAATAATGCACGACGAGGAATTCTCTGGGACGACATTCGTAGAACATGTCCAAGCCACCGAAGTCGGTGTTTCAAGATGGTGACACCAATGGAATTATCGTCTCTGTGACCGAACACTCGATGCCGAACCTCTGCATTACTGACATGGTGTTGCCACTGGATGCCAGCAATCCTTCGGAGACAACGATGATCGAACACAGAGAGTCGTCTAACATCCTCAACTCGGAGAGGCCAGGTTTCACAAGCATAGAGCAAAACTGCTCTCACCGTCGCGTTGTAGATCCGACCTTTTACAGCCAGACTAACATCACGAAGGCGCCAAAGGTGGCCCAGATTGGCATAAGCCGCTCTGGCTTTCACTATACGTGCATTGATCTCATCACTCACACCACCACCAGCACTTATGCAGCTACCTAGATACACGAACTTCTCGACTACTTCTATCTGCTCACCATCCAGAGTGAGTACAGGATTAGAATCCTGCCAGTCTTGTAGAAGTACTTTGCACTTCGAAGGTGCAAAGCACATACCATACCTACGGACATTGATTGCCAACTGATTAAGTGCGGATTGCATGGATTGGGCATTCTCGCACAGTAAGACAATATCATCCGCATACTCAAGGTCGAGAAGTCTTTCTCCAGGCAACAGATCCACACCACCATTACTTACATCCGTCAGAGCTGTTTCCAGAATGTCATCGATGGCAAAGTTGAAGAGGAATGGTGAGATTGGGCAACCCTGCCTAACCCCACTGCTCGAATGGAATAGTGGAGAAAGGTGGTTGTATGCCCTCACTCTGCCTGAGGTGTTTGTGTATAGGGCTTTTAGGATGTTAATAAACTTCTCAGGCACACCCTTCTTCAATAGACAATCCCAGAGAACAGTTCTGTCCAACGAATCGAAGGCAGCCCTGATATCAAGAAACACTACGATTGTTGGCCTTTGATAAGTATGGCGGTGTTCTAACACTTGGCGGAGGGTGAAGATATGATCAATACATCCTCGACCAGAACGAAACCCAGCCTGCTCCTCGCGAGTCAATCCTTCTCGGGTCCTGAACAACCTACGAAGTATGACGGAAGCCAATAGCTTGGACGCAATCGGAAGTAGACTTATCCCCCGATAGTTATTACAGGAACAACGTGAACCCTTTTTAAAGATAGGGACAACTATCGACTCATTCCATGACGTTGGTACACTCTCTAGTTCCCAGATCTTTGTAAACAACGTCGTCAGTCCCTTAGTCAAAAAGTCACCACCATCTTTAAAAAGAGCCGGAGGTAAGTCGTCTGGGCCCGGTGATTTGTAACGTTTCAAGAGTTGGAGTTCCTTGCGGACTTCCGCCTCATTTGGTGGATCAGTCGTCACCGGCCATGGAGGGCAGGACAGTCTGACCGATGTTGTCGGAGCAGCAGGCCAGTTGAACTGCCCTTCAAAGAATTCTGCCCATCGTCCAAGACGTCGATGGATGTTAGTGATTGGCGTTCCGTCATCCTCGCAGATTGTTTCGCTCACACCAAACTTCTTGCTGCCAGTGGCTCGGATGAGTTGGAAGAGCTTCCGGTAATTACCAGATGCAGCTGCTGCTTCCAACTCACTGGCACGCTCCGACCACCAGGCTCCTCGGTCCTTACGCAAGCTTTGCCCGATTTCATTACGTAACATCCTTCATCTGTGGTCAAACTCACGGTCACCCGGAGTAGACCGACGGGCTTCAATCAGTTGTAAGAAACCAGAAGAAACCCAGTGCTTGTAAGCGGGACGTTTCGCGAAGCCGCAAGCGACTTTACTCGCCATTTTGATGGCGTCATGCAATTGCAACCAATGCTCATCTATACTTTTCGGTGGAATGGTAGCTAGCCTAGAAGCTAGCTCGGTTCGGTACTTACTAGCAACAGAAGTTGCAGCCAGCTTGCTAACATCAATCCTTTGGTGGCGGTCACTTCGTTGTCCACTGAAAAGTAAGGTAAGATTGGCGCAGACCAGAGCATGATCAGATTCCAGATAGGTACTCCAAAAGGAGCGGCAGTCTTGTACACAACCGCGCCAGCGGTAGCTGATCGCGATGTGATCAATCTGAGTCCAGGCTTGAGATGCAGAAGGAGGACGTCAGGTGGCACATCGGCGATGACTGTGCCGAAAGTTAGTGCTAGCCAGAAACAGGTTGTGGTCTGTGCATAGTTGCAGTAGACGTTCCCCGTTATCTGTCCTGCGACCAACGAGTCCCCATCGGCCACCTAAACGACTCTCTTCTGTGCCTAGACGCCCGACCTGAGCATTCAAGTCTCCAGCTAGTACTACAATATCTGTCGAACGCACTTTCTGGAGAAGAACAGTTAGCTGATGGTAGAACTCGTCCTTGATTGCATCCGGGCTGCAATCTGTCGGGGCATAGGCGGAGATGACGAAAAGACATCGTTTCTCACGCCGATTTCTTCTCACTTTGATGGAACTTTCTAATCTAACAGCACATAACCGACTGTTAATGGGGATCCAGTCGACTAGTGCTGCCTCAGCTCTTGCGCTTAGTGCGACACCAACGCCAGCAAGACCAGACGAAGATGCCACAGGGTCCCCGGATAAACGCACATAAAACAAGCTTTTTGAAGTGACAGATGGAGAGCGAACTTGTAGTACTTCACCAGAGTCTTGAATACGGGTCTCGGATAGACAACACACATCAATATTAAGACTTTCCAAAGACATAGCCAGTCCTATCTGTTGTCCGACCTGCATAAGTGTGCGAACGTTGAAGGTAGCCAGTTTGAATGGTGCACGTGGTTTCAGAAAAACTGCTTCAGTACTCATGTTCGGTAGTAACATACAATTTTCAACCAGGAAGTGACTCGGGCACGTTTAGATAAAGCTGAATTTTCAACATAGGTGAGCTGCTGTCTAGGTCGAAACACATATATAAAGTAGGAATAAGAGAGGGTGAATAAATGACGTGGTAGAGTAATAATAATAATAATAATAATAATAATAATAATAATAATAATAATAATAATAACAATAATAATAGTACGAGTTATTTCAATGTTAATCAGATAGAAAGGAATATTTTCCATAAGCAAATTGTTCATCATAGTTTTAGTGAGTGGGCTGGGATACTGCCCGGGTGCCCAGACCGAAGCAGGTGGTTTTCTTAGGGGGCCACACCCCGAGCCTTTGACCTAAGGGTCTAGTCCACAAGGCAGTGGAGCATCGTGAGGAGATGCAGTCCCATGGAAGCCGGTGACCAAAAGTTGGTTCATACGCCATTTGTTCCCGCAGGATACTGGAGCCCATGTGCACCATAGAATTGGGATCCGGTTATAGCGCCGGACATTCGCTTTTCGTCCTCTCATTTTCGTAAACAACACCCCCGCCACGAGAAGGCAGTGAGATGGACTTCCCTGGCAGAGGCTGTATACGCGTGGCCGTGTGAGAGTATTTCGAGAGGGAGGGCGAACCCTCCCCGCTCTCGGCCATACCAGGGCATTTGGGGGCAAGACATATTAATACCCAAATCATAATCAAAGATACGAAATGCCAGTATAAGGTCACCTCGAGTCCTACGATACGACAAGGCGCAAAGGTTTAGGCGTTTTAAACGCTCATCGTAAGGGAGTTTAGAAAGACCCTTCACTAATTTTGTTCCAACACGCTCAAATGAGTTAGTATTTTTTACCAGATATGGGCTAGCTGCTTGGATACAGTACTCTAAATGTGGTCTTACATAGGTGGGATATAAAATTCGAAACATTTCCTCCTCAAAAGATTTGAACGCTCGGCGAAGTGACCATAACGCACGAAAACCTTTAACAGCGGCTGCGTTGCAATGCGTAGTTGTTTTTAGGTCATGACTTATCATTACTCCTAAGTCTTTATGTTTTTGAACGCATCGAAGAGGTTTGCCATCAATAGTATAATGGTAACTATTGCCGTATTTATTATTTATTTTAACACATAGGTATTGGTACAAGGAGGCACCAA